AAAAGCAGAAAACATAATTGTAAAGTCAAGAAACGATGTTTTCTCTTAACTCTGGCACTGAAGCTCTCACCTGGGGTGAATCAATAACCTTCCCTGGTCCCATTTCCTAAGACTTTAAAATGAAAGGGTTGGATCAGGTGTTCTGTAAAGGTCCTACCCTGTGTTGGCCTTCTATAATCCCATGATTGTGGATGCGGCCTCTTGGCAAGCAAGTTTGAGATATTGACAAAGCCAGATTGCTAAGACAACAAGAATCAGATTTTGGAAGTAGTTTAACCACCTGTCCCTCAGACTTAAACTTAACAACTTAACTTTAACTTTAACTTAAGTTAACTTTACTCACTTATTAAGGTTAAGCACAACACATTGCTTGGAGGGAAGAGTAGTGAGACTGCAGATTAATTCTATCCTTACATGAAATCTTTACAGTGAATGACTATAAGTTTAGATGTCTTAAAATCATATGCAAGGTCTGAATGGTCCACTTAAAGGGCAAGACTTCTGTTTTCGTCTTGGACTTTTCTTTTTTGGGTTGTAATATTTCAGTTATGAAAGTCATCAGCAGTACACGCATGGGATGGCTAATAACAGAGACACTCTAAAGCAGGCATCCTCCTCAAACTACGGCCCACAGGCCACATGCAGCCCGCCTAGGACATTTGTCCCGCCAGCCGGGTGTTTTTGCCACCCCTGCCCGTCCTGCTTAGCAGCCAACTTGTCCCAGGGCCCGCAGTCTGGCCTTTCAACAGTCTGAGGGATAGTGAACTGGCTCCCTGTTTAAAAAGTTTGAGGACCCCTGAAGGTTAAAAAGAAGCTCTATATTTATAAAGGCAGCAAGTTTCATTATAGAGGGAAGTTTTATTGTAGATTTATTGTGTCAGTAAGGGACCTTTTCTTGGGGGTGTGACAGTGGTACCCACCTGATCTACCAGGGGCCTGGTCAAAACTACTGACACTGTGTCCCTGACCATATCTGCAGCCCATAAGGCCACAGGCCATAGGAACAATAGGGTCACTCTGTTTCCCTGTAGGGAAGAACTATAATATTATAAATTTCTTTAGAATCACATAATTTTCAGAGTATTTCACATAGAAAAATCAGAGGGAAGTCATGCCAGTATCCACATTTTAAAGATGAAACAGAGGTTCTAAGAGATTGAGATTTCCCTAAATTCACACAAATTCAGTTTTTAAAATTTGTTTGCTATTTTTAGCCTCAAATATCATGTTCTCCATTGCACAATATCCTGTTCTCCGTTGCCTTACCCGTGCAACAGAGAACACAAAACATTGTATCTGTGTCTATTTATGACCCAGTCCTAGTTACTACATGTCCATTTTTCATGTTTTATTATACAGAAAATGATTTTTCACTACCTTATCAGATGGAGCTAGCAAAGTCTGAGAGTTTCCACAGAGAAGCAACCAATATAATTCTACCACAATATTGTTTTAGGTTGCTAATTTTTCTTTTAATTGTTACATATAAATGAACAAGAGGCAAAAATAACAACACACTTGTTTTAACATGTGATTGTGCTCAGCAATGATTATTTTATTAGATGAAAGTTAAATAAATTATAACCCAATGGACATTCAGCATTATTCACACATTCAGAATTTGTGCAGATTGGAAATTACGACTCTTAATGATGTGATACACAAGGTCACAGCAGCTGACTAAAAACCAAAAAGCCCCATCACATACTTCTCCTTCATATGGTTTGAAATCAGATAGTCATTGCCAGAATATCCGCTGTGCCATTGGAAAATGACACTTGACTCTTTTTCTTTTTTTTTTTTTTTGAGACAGAGTTTCACTTTGTCACTGTGGGTAGAATGCCTTGGTGTCATAGCTCAGCAACCTCAGTCTCTTAGGCTCAAGTGATTCTCTTGCCTCAGGCTTCTGAGTAGCTGGGACTATAGGGGCCTGCCACACCCGGCTATTTTTAGAGACGGGGGTCTTGCTCTGGCTCAAGCTGGTTTCGAACTCCTAATCTCAGGCAATCTGCCCTCCTTGGTCTCTCAAAGTGCTGGGATAACAGATGTGAGCTATCACATCCAGCTGGAAGATGATAGATTTGCATCTCCTTGGAACTTTTCACCTGGTGACTATGAAGGTGCCTAAGATTAAAACTCTTCTTTTAAAACTTTTGCCCCAGAACTTTTCATGTCATAGCACCTGTGCCTGATGATACATTGAAATCGGAACCAAGTGCTTAGCTAATGAAAAAGGACATTTTATCAGTTGAAAGAAAATACTTTGAAATAGGGTCTGGCCTAGCTTTGAGGATGGACGGGGGTGGTTTTATTTTCTTTCCAGTGGGAAGCTATCTACTTTAGATTACAGAAGAATTAGAGAATTATCTGGTTTGATTCTGACATCAGAAGTGCAGATATTTGGAAAGTGCTTGAAAGCGACTTTGGTTACAAGTAAAAGGTAAACTACATTATCTTGACTTAAAAACATTAGATTGTGCGTTCCATTTTAGCAGTGAGCCCAAAACTTTTTAAAAACCCAAGTACTGTTTGCAGGAAAGCATAAGTAATATCTTAATTCTTTTCACTTTGTAAGGACTGTCAAGTTAATTATAAAATTTCCCCTGTTATTAAACATTGGTCAAACTTGGTTGTCCTCACATGACTACACTACAGCTAAATAACAACACAGTAACAACAAAAACAAAAATCCTGGTATGAGCTTTACTAATGATGAGTATATGATTCCTTACTCACAATTAAAGGAGCCAGAACCAAGATAGCTCAGATATCAAGACTTGGGCTTCTAAAACATTTCTCTAAAAGGAATATGTGCTAATTCAATAAGTGATCTCTTTGGTTGTTACCATATATACAATTAACATGTATATTACTATGACTGATAAATACTATTATTACTATGAAATTATATTCATATCCAGGTCTCCTGTGTTCAGAACCAGCAACATATATATTTAAATACTCTATAACAGCGCATCTGAACCTATGGGTCGTGACCCACAGGAACTGTATTAAAACCTTTGCAACATTAGAAAGGTTGAGAACCACTGCTCTAAAGAACACTAGCATTCATTAGACATACTGATTTTGAACATGAAACTCTGTTACAAAACATAATTCTGAAAAGAGTATTTTTTTTTAATTGTTGGGGATTCACTGAGGGCACAAAGAACCAGGTTACACTAAGTGCATTTGTCAGGCAAAGTCCCTCTTATAAATGTGTCCCTCATCCAAGAGGTGTGTGAAACACTGTGTGAAAAGAGTATTTTTTAAAAGCTGTGATGATATGACAACCAAGCTAGTGAAAAAGTCGGGGGGCGGGGGGAGGTTCCAATACCCATTATCTTGAGGACATAGCAACAAACAAGTCACTAATAGCTGCCTGGGGATTTTTTGGGGGGAGGGGAAGCTTTAAATATTTAATCTGTATATACCCTAAGGTTTAAAATGCTTTTATTATATAGATATATATGTGTGTGTGTATATATATATATACATAGTGTAAAACCAGGACTCCGGGCCACTGAGAATAGATTTGGGCCAAGATAAAAAGTTTCAGAACAGACAAATTAGGGCAAATTGCTAAAAAAAAAATCTTTATGTAAGATTTTCCCTTGTTCCCCTTCTTGGCTGCAAGGCCCCAATAACTTTTCCCCATTTCCTCTCTACTCTCAGTGGCCCTGCCAGGACCTGAGGGCTGGGCTGAAGGATATCTAAAGAAGTTAGTTGGTGGAAAATCCTCTCTCAGTGGCCCTGCCAGGACCTCAGGGCTGGGCTGAAGGATATCTAAAGAAGTTAGTTGGTGGAAAATCCTCTCTACTCTCAGTGGCCCTGCCAGGACCTTAGGGTTGGGCTGAAGGATATCTAAAGAAGTTAGTTGGTGGAAAATGTGCATATTTTAGGGTATTTAGAAGCTAGTTAAACTGGATTCTCTCCTGGTGTTCAAGGGGAGCAGATCATATTCTTGAAAATTATGATAGGGAAAGAATAGCTCCCTAACTGCTTTGTGGGGGACACTGCTATCACCCTTCCCCTCTAGCAAAAAACACAAGCCACATCAAATGCCACTTCTTTGTCTAGGAAAAAGCAAAACAAAATAGGTTCTGGTGTATAAGCCCTTCCCAGCATCAAGCTCAGTTCATATTCTTAATCAGGAGTCAGCAAAGTTTTTCTGCAAAGGGTCAGGTAGCAGTTTTAGGTATTGTGGCACACAGACTCTGTTGCAGTGACGGCACTGCTATCATAGAGGGGAAGTACTCACAGACTGACACACACACACAAATGAGGGTGGCTCCGCTCCAATCAAACTTCATTTTTCAAAAGCATTCAATGGACTGGCTTTTGTCCTCAGGCCATCATTTGTCCACCCCTGTTCCAGATAATAACCACAAATGGTGCCTCTCTTCTGAGTGCTGTGAAGTGCAGCTAGGCTAATACCCACTTACACAGTATTTAGTACACACATAGGGGACCCACAGCTGTGGTAGAAGAAGCCCGAGTGACCTGAGGATTCAGTGTTTATGATCCACAGTTATAAATCACTTGGTCAGAAACCAGTAGGAACCTGTTTCATTTAAAAAGAAGGGAGCAGGTAGCTGTTTCTGGCTTTTGCTAACCTCAGAGCTGCAATCAGGAGCTGAGGATAAAGGTCATTCTGTTGTGGCTTGTAAAGATGCAAAGAAAAGCAATAAATTATGGGTAAGGGGCACCTTAGGATCCCTGCAGGGTCAATATATCTTTCCAAGGCATCATATGTAAGTCAGCACTGAGGAATTCACTACTCAAACGACAAGACTTATCAACTCAAAGGTTAATTTGTTCAGCACGTGGCTGAAAAACCAAACAACAAAACCAAATATATAATGGCAATAGAATTTCCTACAGGTGGAGGAAATCTTGCCAGTCATCTTAGCCAGCTGTTTCATGTTACTGATGGAGAAACAACGGCTCAAGAAGAAAGCAGCATCTTTCCCAGCTTGTTTGTGGAGGAATCACCCAGTAGCCATTTTAACTTCCAATCCATTGCTATTTCACTAAGCAACCTGATTTTAAAGGAGACTCACAAGCCATATAAACACCTATATCAGGAGATTATCTTCTAAGTAACCAGCTACCCTTAAAGACAAGTTTTCTGCTGAGATAGAAATGGCCCCAGAAAACATCTGAAATTTACTGAGGGGAACAAAAGGCAATTTGTCACTGATTTAATGTTGTTGACAAAAACTGCACAGGATAGAGCATTAAATGGCCATCTTCCCATGTATATAGATGCTGATCTCTCATGTTGTATGATAACATGGCAAGAACAGATTGGGAAGTTCTTAAATCAAAGTTTGCATTGATCTGTTTCCCTCCTAACAAATCAAAGGCAAATGTTATCCTCATATCTTTGGTGTCTGTGACATAGAGGATTCCTTGGGCGATGAAGGCGTTGCCAGCCTTGGATTTGGGGTACGTGGTATTGATGTGTTGCACCACGGAAAATGTCTTTTCCTCCAGTTGTGCTACGAGAATACTCGAGCCGTCCACACTTGAAGCATAGATAATCCAGAGGCCCTTTTCATCCACAGCTAGATTGAAATAAGTCTTGGAGTTTGCAAAAAGGTATTTTCGATCAAAATACAAGGCGTTTTCAAGCTTCAGAGTTTGGGATGTTTTTTTGTCAAATTCAAATCTGAAATGTATAAAAGAAAAAGACACGAGTCACCATTTTTGTAGATGAAGGTGATCTGTTAGGCTTCTCTTAAACTAAGTTAGGTCTGAGGAGAGGCCTGGGATTCTGCATTTCTAACAAGTTCCCAGGTAAGGCTTGTTCTGGTGGTCCTTCAACAATCTGTGAACAGCAAGGTTGTAAGGGCAATGACTAGCTTCTCCAGCAGAAGAAACAGAGAGGCAGTAGCATGGTTTAAAGCAGGCATCCTCGAACTATGGCCTGCGGGCCACATGCGGCCTGCCTAAGGACATTTATCTGGCCCGCTGGGTGTTTTTGCCACCGCTGCCTGTCTGCTTAGCAGCTGACTCATCCTGGGGCCCTCAGTCTGGCCCTCCAACGGTCTGAGGGACAGTGAACTGGCCCCCTGTTTAAAAAGTTTGAGGACCCCTGAAAGAGAATACTCCTCAGAGTGAGAACGAATTCATGTCTGAGTGACCACTTACTAGCTGTGTGATCCCAAGAAAATTACTTTACCTCACTAATGCTCAGCTGGTTGGTGACCTCCTAAAACGCCCTCTCAAAGATACTTAGAGCTGCAAGGGCTGTAAAAAGTCCAATCCTTTCATTTTAAAATGAAAACAAAAGAAAAAAAAAAGAAAAGATATAAAACCAAAAGAAGTAACTAGCCCATGGATACAAGTAAGTAGCAGAGTCAGAATATAAACTTGGATTTTCTAACTCTAAGTTCAGAAGTTATTCCTTTATTCCATACTAAATTTGAAGAAAAAAAATTTTTTTTTTTGAGACAGAGCCTCAAGCTGTCCCCCTGGGTAGAGTGCCGTGGCATTACAGCTCACAGCAACCTCCAACTCCTGGGCTCAAGCGAGTCTCCTGCCTCCACCTCCCAAGTAGCTGGGACCACAGGCGCCCGCCACAACGCCCGGCTATTTTTTGGTTGCAGCTGTCATTGTTGTTTGGCGGGTCCGGGCTGGGGATTCGAACCCGCCACCTTAGGTGTACGTGGCTGGCGCCCTAGCTGGTTGAGCTATAGGCACCGAGCCTGAAGAAAAAAATTTTATAGCCTTCTAATATAAGAAGAAAGTCACCAGTTGAGAAAGGATGTAGCAAAGTCATGGCTGGAAAGAACGTATTGCTGTCAGGTAAGTAGGTGGATAAATTAAATTATGGTATGCAATCACATCCCCCTTAGCTCCTGGAGGCTGTCTGATTTGGCAAACTCCAAATCCAGATCCTCTATCAAAAAAAAGTAAATTACGATTCAAAAGTAACTAATCCCAGAATGAAAATCCCAGGACCTTCAGCTAAAAAAAAAAAACAAACCACCAGAGGGTGCCATTGAGCAGCAGAAGAAACATCAAGTGTGTGAATCTGTGGCTATGCATTTGAGCATAACAAACTTGAAGTTGATTAAGAAACCTTGAAGTAACTTTGAAAAAAATTGGAGGGGAGTGAGGGATTGGAAAGGGTCCCTGTCCATCTCAGCTCACAGGAATTCTCCTTCCTCTGAATACCTGGAATTCAGTACTGTCATTTGGCCATCTGGTCCCAGCACCTAGCAGCTGCATTCTTTGGTGAGGCTTTGTCCCTCCCAGTAAGAACAGGGTCTGCCTGCCCCTTAGCTCTCAGCCCATAACCTGTGCACCACAAACTTAGCTACCTTAGAAGAAACCCTTTCTTAAAGAGGCCAGTCCTCATTCTTGGGGCATTTTCACCCCAAAACTCCTCAGCTACCGCCAACTCCATGTGACAATAGCTCTGTGTAACATGGCAACAGGGGTCCACCAACTAATTGAGAAGCATCACAGGAAGGAGCTTGTCGGGGAGTGAGATCAGCTGCCCGTTCCTACCAGCATAAGACTCTGCCCAAATGGGGTGGCCATGGAGGGGAAGGGATGACAGAGGAGTCAGAGAGGACTCCTCCTGCCACAGCCAACACTTGAGTCTAATGTGGCTCGATCTAACTGCAGGTTATATTAGGAAAACTGTCCCCATCCTAACCTGAACACACAAATGCCGAAAAAACTGTTAAAGCTAGACCTGGCTAAGGGCAGGAGGAGGATGAAGTCAGGAGAGAAGGGACTTAGCCTCTCTCAAGGCCACTGTTTCTTGTTTTGAATGACTGGGACTGTGGCACTCATAATACTGGGATTGTTGTTTCACATGGGGTAGAGCTGGAAGGACTCAGAGGCTTAGTCTATCTTTGTAGTTGAGGATATAGAGACCACAGGAGGTGGTGTCTCTTATCCAAGGTGGTGTCTCATAGAGTAGGCAGAAGAGTTGGAACCAGAAAACAGGCATCTTGGTTTTCAGTTCATTAGTTTCTTGATTTGCCCAGGATGACCTGCTTCTGCCTCTAGAGTCCAGAACTTGATTTCTTCTCGAACCATAAACATACAACTTCAGTAATTCTTGTGGGGAAGCAGAAAGGCTCAGCTGCTGCCCTGGGCACAGTCTGCCCAAGTGACCCCTCCCTTGCCCTGGGGAAAGCGGAGGGAGGTCCACAGCAGGATGGCCGGTCAAGCTGAAGGCCGTGACGCCTGACTTTGGGTTGCACTCTCTAGTCTTCAATGATCTCAGATGTGACATGAAATTCCTCACACCCAAAGTTTTCCAAAATAAAACTAGTATCAGAGAGTGACACCTTTGGCCAAAGGGAGCTCTGGGTTCTGGCTGCTCCCTTCCTCAAAGGATGAGAAAACTACTGCCCCTTACTACCACTCCATCTCTACTTCTGCCTGGGCCTGACCTTCTTCACAGCATCCAGATAAGCAGTGAATGTATAGCCCAGGGACTGCTGGGACGCTGGGCTCACTCCCTGTGATTCTGATTCATTCAGCCAACAAACCATGATTGCCCTCTGACTGTGTGCAGGCCCTAGGGACATAAAGATGGTGGAAACACAGTCCCTGCCCCTAAGGGGCTCAGGAGAACCCCACTTAGCAGGTGTGCGGTGCTGGAGGGGCTTACCTCACTATGGTGTTGGAACCGCCTTTGTGGTAGTAGAGATAGTTGTTGTAAACAGCATGCCCACAGCCATGGAAATAATGTGGGAGGTGGATGAACGTGTAACTGCCATTCACAAGTGAGGGCTGGTCTCTGAATTCCTTCACCATGATACCTGTCGGGGGAAGCCAGAGAGACTCTGTTACCTGCTGTCCAGCCGTCACAGCCTGGGAGTGAGTCCTCCAGAGGACTTGAAAATGCAGAAGTCACGAGTGAGATATTCCCAAGGTCCTTTGTCCAGTATAAAGAGTTCAAAGTGCAATTCTCCCCATGAATTCCTGGAATGTCTTTCAAACCCAGTAGCCACAGAATTGTCTTTGCTTCTCCTGAGAGAACTGTGCGCCACCCTCTCCCCAGCCCACTCTAGGAGAGCTGTGCAGGCTGACACCAGGAGTAACAGCAGGTCCTTGGCACTTTCCCAGTCACCTCGGGACCCTCCCTTTGCTCTTCCTGCACTTCACAGCAGCCCCTACTAATGAACAGTACCACTCTTCTTTCTTACAGTCACAGAATCCTTCTTAGCTGGTGATCTGGGCAGTTACTAACAACTGACCAGTTAGCGCTGATGAAATAAAGCTGTTTCTCCAACCAGGCTGTATACCCCACTGGTAATTCCTGGCCACATTCCTTTGGGACAGTGCGACTGGGGTCTCATGCTTTGATGCTGTATAACTGCAAGGTGACACCTTGCCTTCTTCCCGGGGCGCTCTGTCTAACGGGTGTCTAAGAAAGATGGCCAGAGGTGCCACTCTCCTGGGAGGTGGCGCCCTTAGAGAAAGAGGTGTTTCTTCTACATTTTAGTTTGGGGTTTATAAGGCCTGTAGTCGTGATCCTATTTGTTTCCTTCTGGATACTTTGCCTAAAATCGGATCGGCTTAGAGTGTCCTGGTCATGTCCTTGTGACCTGAACGGCAAAACTTGTCACCATGAGGAATGTATTCTGCCCATTCATTTGTGCTTTCTAAAATAAAGAGCAATTTATTAAACCAAGTAGCAGGAACTTCAGACACACAGAAACAGAATAAGCCTGGAGGTAGGTGACAGATGAAAAATACAGTTATTACACAGACATGGATTGTCTGCCGTTGAAAGTACCTGAAAAGTGTTCAGTCACCCAGATGCGGTCATCACTCTTGTTAGCAGACTCTCTTATCCAAGTCCCAAATGTCTCCGTAAGTTTGAATACTTGCGTTGGTTTTCCAATGGAAGTGATCATGGAGTCTGCCCCAAGAAGAGAAAGAAAAGTTACTCACCTGCTAGTTATGACTTTAAGGGATCCAGCTTCCAAATTTTAAAACAGGATGTTTTGTTTCTGTACCTGCTTGAGGGGAACGGTGCTCGTGGATCTTCTCTTCAGCTTTACCAACCAAGGTGTCATCATTTGGTATGGCACATGTCTCTCCTAAAATAACAGCGATACTCAGAGCAAGACAGCTGGTGCAGTGTCATCTGTGTAACTTTGTAATTGCTGCTTTTCCCACCTCATTCCAGACTTCAGTCCCAGAAGCATCCCTGGCAACAGGCCTGCCAAGTTTCTTGGTTGCTTGCTTTTAAGCACCCAAGCATTCCCAAATTCACTGTCCCCCCTGCCCTACTTGGTGAGTTCCCAACAAACTTTCCATGACCACAATTGCTAAGATAATACAATTCTAAGAGGGCGTCAGAGAAAGGGAGAAAGTGACCTATACCACCCATCCAAGCCCTCAGCAATTTGAGGGGGAAAGGAGGCTTGTTGATAGCTCCTTAGCATCTCTGGCAGGTGGTATGCATGACCGCATTGTTCTGGAAGGATTTTCACTCTCAGGGAGGTTGGTGGGGGTGCTATGAGGAAGCAGCCTCAAAGATGGGGTAGTCTACTTTACCCAGCTTCTCCTGGGAGAAGATAAGGAGAGGAATCACAGCACCTCAGAGGAAGAAGGAACCTAGAGTCATTTGGGCCCAGAGACGCTGGAATCTCCTCCTGACCATTCCCCGCTGTCTCTGCTAAAGGCCTGCAGGCCCAGGTGCCTGATTCACGGTTGGTTTGAGGCTACACCTGAGCTATAATTCATTCTCCTTGGCTTGTCAGTCTTCCCCTTAACGAATGGGTTTCATTCAGACCTTGGTGAAGAGGTACCTGGGGTAGCAGAAGCCAGGCAGGGCAGAGGGTGGGCTGGACTGCAGAGAGGGCAAGTTGGGCCTTTTGGCTTTCTGGGAAAGGCCAGGCCTTCCACCTAGACAAATTCTGAGGGGTTCAAATCACTTTGTGGTTATCAGAACCGGTGGCTTCTCTGCTGTCAGTAGGGAAGCTCACAGAATAATCTGAAGGGTTTCTTATCAGTAAGATACGAAGGTGATTACATGATCTCCAAGCTTCTTCCTAGCTGGATAGGCCCTTGTTTTTCTGAATCCCTTGACTATAGGGAGATAGCAATATCGGGGGTCCATTACAGCTTCCCCACTGGCAGTCCTGCTGCCTCTGGGTTTTATTTGGAGCTTCCACTCAGGAAATTAAAGGATGTTAAGGAAATGGAATTGGAGCAGGAGAGAAGGTCAAGTTCAAATGCAAATGCTTGGTAACCCAGGACTCATTTCTAGGAGGCAGAGTGAAGTTAATGGGCTGTCATTTAAAGCAGTTTTCACAACTCCAGGCCCAACCCCTGCCCACCCAGCCTCTTAACAGGTAGGCCTGGCAGAGGAGACTGCTTCTCCAGGCACAGACTGTCGCCAGCTGCTAATTTCCTTGGCAAATTAGAATTCTGCAAAAGCTCAGGTCGGATGCCTTCTCTTGGGGGAAGGCCCTGCTCAACTCATTCTCCCTGTGAAGCTGCCCCGAGGGCTGGTGCTAACGGATGGGGTGGCGCTGAGCTTGCTCTGCTGGAGTGATTATGGCGGGGAAGATGGGAACCTCTTTGAAAGCACAGATTTGCCCACTCTGACAGCAGAGTGTATGCCCCTGAAATTCTTCCATGAAGAATAGCACACCAGACAGAACTGAAGACTGTTCAGGAAAGTGGCAGTAACAGCCACAAGTCTGAGAGAAATTCCAGGTAGGATCCTCCTCTCTGTTTGCCACAGAGGTGATGGCCTGGAGTTGCAGCTCCTTGTGGGTTAAGTGAGGGGATAGATCCTAGGCTGCCTCTTAGGGGAAGTTCTAATGTCACACTACAAATATTTTCCATTAACATGATCCTTGATTTCTAATTAGCTTTCAATCCTGTGGCCACTCCTGCAACAAACTAGCTAAAGAACATGTCCTCTTGGCCTGGGTCAGGTCTCAAAGTGCAGATCTCTGCCTCTGAAAGGACAATGCCCTGGCCTAAGAGCTGGGGCTTTACAGTCAGGCACACCTGCATTCAGATCTGCGCTCTGTATTACTAATTGGATGAACTTGGGCAAGCTGCTTACCTCCTTAGGGGGTCAGTTTGTATCTGTTAAATTGGAGACAGTGATTCGAAAATCATGGGATTGTTCTGAGAATTAAATGAGCTCAGTATCAGCATCCTACCTGGCACTGGACAGTTAGTGGTGGCAGCAGGAACATTGTGGTCACCACCTGTGAGGAGCTAACCAATATGAACTCTCCAGCACCAGTTGAGGCCCTGACTCTCCAAAGACTGTGTCACTGTGAAAAGTTACCAGCTGAGCTTTAGGGGAAAGGGATAGCGGATAGGCCAGGTGGAGGAGAAGATGAGATAAATGCAGGGTAGAGGAGAGGGCCCGGCCCCGGGCAGACTGCTCAGACCTCCCACGAGCATGGTGCACAATGTGGACCCTCATTTTGAACTAAATCTCTTCCTTGTGTTTTAAAAAGATCTGGTCGCCAAGCCTGGGGTGCAGACCAAGAGTTTGGGATTATTAGTGGAAAAGGTGGGTTCCCCGGCAGGGGTTGGTGACCTGAGCACTGGCCGTTGAACATGTTTGGCTGCCGAGGGCCTTTGGCTCTTCTGCTTCCTGGGGGTCCTGGAGGGCCTGGGGGTCCTGGGGGCCCAGGTGGGCCAGGTAGGCCTTGATCTCCTTTGGCACCTGGAGAGAGAGCGGAGGAAGGGGAGAGAGGTAAGGAGAAAGAGAAGGGCAGGAGAAGGAGAGATTGATTAATGAGCTATAAACAGAGGTTGGGTTTCCTGTGAGGGAAAGTGAATGGTCAGCAACTCCAGGAGTGTCACTGGGCTGCCCCCGGGGGTAACTTACTGTAGCACTGTCTATGCTGAGTTGGGGAAGAACTCCAAAGGTGCCAAGTACCAGCTACAGGCCAGGGACTGTGCCAAGAGGTTCACAGTCTTGCCATCATTCTTCCCAACTTCCCTGTGAGTAGTCGTGTCCCCTCAGAAAACCAAGTCTTAGGGAAGTCAAGTAGTTTGCCCAAAGTCACAATCTGAAGAGAGCTGGAACACCATTTCCGGTATGCTTCACTCTAACGCTCATCCTTTGTTCACTGGCCATTGTCAGTGGACCTCAATCCCAACTGCTTATTGGAGTCATCTAAAAAGGCCCAGGCTCTGGCACGGCACGGTGGCTGATGCCTGTAATCCTAGTACTCTGGGAGGCTGAGGCGGGTGGATTATCTGAGCTCACGGGTTTGAGACCAGCCTGAGCCAGAGCGAGACCTCCCATCTCTAAAAATAGCCAGGCATTGTGGTGGGTGCCTGTAGTCCCAGCTACTTGGGAGGCTGACACAAGAGAATCACTTGAGCCCAAGAGTTTGAGGTTGCTGTCAGCTGTGATGCCATAGCCCTCTACCAAAGGTGACAAAACGAGACTCTGTCTTTAAAAAAAATAAATAAATAAAAAGGTCTGGGCCCCATCTCGGAGCAATTAACTCAGAATGCGGCTGGGGAGGTGGGCCACCTGTACCTCCCCCAAATCTCCTAGTCTGCAGACAGCCTGAAAAGCCCTGCCCTGGGTGGCAGAGGAAATCAGGAGCACCTATATGTTCTAGTTCTATTCAGCTTTGTGATGCTGGCTAGGGACCATAACCCTTCTGGGCCTGTTTCTTCATCTCAAAATTGAGTCTCCAATGGTGCCCGTAACTCAGTGGGTAGGGCACCAGCCACATACACCTGGCTGGTGGATAAGAATCTGACCTGGAGCCAGCTGAACAACGACAACTGCAACAAAAAATAGTTGAGTGTTGTGGTGGGCGCCTCTACTCCCAGCTACTTGGGAGGCTGAGGCAAGAGAATAGCTTAAGCCCAAGAGTTGGAGGTTGCTGTGAGCTATGACACCATAGCACTCTACTGAGGGTGGCATAGTGAGACTTTGTCTCAAAAAAAAAAAAAAATTCCTTCCCTGCCCTGAAGGAATCAGTGAGGTCATTGCTGTGAAGGCTTTGACAGCTGCAGAGTCAGCTGCTCCACTAACTGTAGGTGGCCCACGTGGGTGCAGCACTTTGCGGGGGCCGTTGGTTGCAGAGCTTTCATAAAAATGCCACTGGCTGAGCTTTTCTAGCCCTTCCCATGGTTCTACATCCTGTCCTGGGCCCAAACTGGTGAGCTAAGGTCTCTTTGGCCACCACTTCACAGCCAGACCAAATAAGCCTTTTCAGCCTCTCTAGAGTGGGCAAGTAAGGATAGCAGGGCTGGAGGCAGGTCTCTGTCCACTCAGGAAGGGACAGAATTCTGTAGGCACCTTCTCCACTCTCTCCTAAGGGACACACTCAGCTCTGGCCAGGTCTTTTCCACTGGGGCACATGAGGGATGGTGCTTTTCTCTTTTTTTTTTTATTTTTGGAGATTAATCGAGAGTACAAAGAACCAGGTTGTACTGATTGCATTTGTTTTGTAATTCCCTCTTATAATTGTGTCCCTCCTGCCCCCAAGAGGTGTGTCACACAGCAGGACCTCCCATCTCCCCCACCCTTGGTGCTTTTCTGAAGGGTTCATCATTACCCCTCACTTGGTCAGGCAAACACAGTATTCTGGACATGCAGATTTCCCATATAACCCAGGTGTAGCATGATCTTATACTTTTCAAATATATTTATGTCTAGTATCCTGTCAAAACATTTAAACACCCTCTGTTTAAAACAAAGTACATGACATATAATTTGATCTTCCCTTGATGCTTTGGTCTTAGTGTCTGGTAAATAGTAGGCACTCAGCCAAGGCTGGAGGGACGGTTGGATGGATGGGTGACTGATTTGGGGTCATTATTCTAAACATCTGGTATCATCCTAGGGTTTGGTCTCACTGTGTCACCCTTGATAGAGGGCTATGACATCACAGTTCACAGCAATCTCCAACTCTTGGGCACAAGAGATTCTCTTGTTTCAGCCTCCCAAGCAGCTGGAATTGCAGGCACCCACCTGGCTATTTTTTGGTTGCAGTTGTCACTGTTGTTTAGCAGGCCCAGGTTGGGCTTGATCCCTCCACCCTCGGTGTATGTGGCTGGCGCCCTACTCACTGAGCTACAGGTGCCCAGCCATCATCCTAGCTTCTTAAGGACAGATGTTCTGTCATATTCATTTCTAGCTACTAGCAAAGTCTCTGACTCATAAATGGTGTTCTCTGGTAATCAGGGCATGTTTATTAAGTACATTAATAGAACAGTTCTGTTTTGTGGTATGCGTGGTCTGAGAAGTAAATAAGAACTTGATTCTTAAGTTCTGGCTCCTCCTCTTCTGTGAGCATCAACTGTCCCCGTCCTACCCCGTGTGATTATCTTTGTGGTGGCTCACTGCATCTTACCCTCTTCCCCCCAGAACATCAAATATCTGCTTCTACTCTGGCCTGGAAAATCACCCGCTGTGTGTTGCCCCAGTTCTATGTCCAAAGGCTTCAGATCAGGGCCTGAGGATGGCTCTAGCTCAACTGTGAAGAAAAAGCTTCTGCTTTTTGCAGTTGTCCCCAGAGGTTTCCTAAGTTCTTGTCTAATTCTGGATTGCACTGGATTTCAATAGATATTTGGAAAATGAGGCTTCCTTCATCCCATCCAATCCAACCATGGCTTTTGGATCTGAATTATCTAAATGACTTATGTTTAGATCCCAGACCTGGTCTTGCCCACGTGGAATGATGCAGAACTTCAAAGCGTGTTGTAAGACACGTGACCACACACGGCCAGTGAGGACAGAGAGCAGCCCCTGTATTGAAATCCAGGGAGTCCTCTGGGCCTGCATGTCCCCGGGAGAGCCTGGGAGCCCCTCTCACCTGCCAGCAGCACATCGTTGGACACATCTCCTTTGTCTCCCTTTTCTCCCTTCTGCCCTGGAGGGCCCTCATTTCCTGCTGAGCCCAATTCACCAGGGTCTCCTTTTTCTCCCTTTTCACCTGGATTTCCTGTGGCTCCAGGTAGCCCTGACAAAAAGAACAACATATTAATCTATTGTGCAAGAAATTCTGGTACACCGTTTTATAATACTATACATTGTTCTTTGGGGGGAAAGCAGCTTTATAAACCAAACATGTAACCCTTCCTGACCATTTTAGGGCAGCGGCATGGCTATAAATTCATTAAAGAATAATGTTGTCAGGTGGCTCTATTGGAATACGTTCAGAGAAATTAGTCTGGGGCAAGAGGTTGGAGGGAATAGTGAACCCCCAGAGGGATGACCACAGTGACAGCAGAAAGAAAGACAGGTAGGCATAATTGGAACCCTGGCGCCATGACACTGGGTGGGGTTTGTCTGGTGCTATAATAGTGGGTGTCATCTAGTTTATTTCTCACACCCGACTAGACTAGCAGGCTGGGCAGTTATCCTTTTGTAGAAGTTGGAACTGAGGCTGTCATTGTTATAATGGAAGCTGCCAAGTGAGGGGCAAAGGACTTCTGATTCCATCTCTGATGCTCTCTTGTGTAACATTCCAATGCAAAATGCTTTTAATCACAATGCAACACAGGTAAAATATTTTTAGGATAACCATTATATATATATATGTATGTATATATACATACATATATATGTATGTATATATATATGTGTGTGTGTGTGTGTGTATTTTTTTTTTTTTTTTTTTGAGATAGAGTCTCACTTTGTTACCCTTGGTAGAGTATTGTGGCATTATAGCTCAAACTCTTGGGCTCAAGCAATTCTCTTGTCTCAGCCTCCCAAATAGCTGGGACTACAGGCATCTGCCACAATACCTGGTTATTTTTAGAGACAAGGTCTTGCTCTGGCTCAGGCTGGTCTCAAACCTGTGAGCTTAGGCAATCCACTCAGGCCTCCCAGAGTGCTAGGATTACAGGCATGAGCTAGCTACCTCCCAGCCTAGGCTAACCATTCATAGGGATGGTGAAAGTGTGAACAAAAGATAGTGGGTGAAATTTCCTCTTTTGCTAATGGAGAACTACCACTCTCTGCCACACAGCTAGAAATCAGTCAGGTTCTAAGCAACAGCTGGCATCAGCCTTGGACCAGAGGAAATGCCAGGGCTTTGGTTTGTCCCAGCTCACTGATGGAAGGTGGTTCCCAGCAGCACAGGGAGGGATAGGAGCCTGCCAAGCTCACTAAGCTCAGAAGTTCAAAATCAGAGTTTGGGAGATGGAGGTGGCTGGAATTTGCAGGATGGAGTAGCAGAGAGGAGAGCAGTGCAGAAGGAGGTCTGCAGATCAGCAGGGGCTCCCTTAAGTCCTGGGCTGGGTGATGAACTTCCACGGGTGGGGGTGGAGGTCTTCAGGGGGCTAGAAAAGGAACTCACAGTTCACTGAAAAATTCTCAGTGTTCACAGGGCAGAATGTTCTCATTCCCACCAGTCAGCATGGATATCATGTGTGTGTGTGTGTGGGGGGTGAGGGGATATAAGTCTCATAAAATAATGGGGTGTCAGAGGTAGCTAGGTGAGTTTCTCAGCAGAGTGCCCTGCCTCAATCCAGGGGAAAGCAGGAAGACAGGCCATCAAGACCACCCAAGATGAAAGGAGCCTGGAGGGCCTCTGACAGGGCAAAGTCTCTGGACGTTTCTGTGCTGCCCAGTCCGCAGGGAGGTAGGTTGTCAGTCACTCAGTGGGGTTAAATCCTTTGAACTCCTGATCAGAGCAGTTTAGATTAGGGAACCTGGCTTGCTTGCCCTGTGGGATGAAACTGGTTTTCCTCGCCCCCTTTCTAAATGTGTTACTGGCTATTTGTTAATGACTCCCCCCTTATGTTCCCATGTACCCAGTTTTTCCTTCTATCCAATCTTCCTGTGGACTTGGGATTCTTTTAACCTTATCTTTTTGACATCTTTGCATTTTGCATATGCATTTTGTGTTAAAACTTAGTAAAAGGCATCTGGAAAAGCTGCCTTGACTCACTCTGCTGCTGCAGCCTGTGAGTCAATGTGTCAGTACGCCTTCCCTCCAGACTTCTCTCGGACTCTGTGTACTAAGCTGGTGTACTACTGTCTAGTGATTTCCCCCAGTGTCATCTTCCCTGTTTACATGGACAATGGGCATCTGATAGAACACTTAGAAAAATCTTGTCGTTAGCCCCAAGGTAAAGGCTGCTGTGGACACATCATTACCAAGCTTAAAAACAAGCTTCAGCAGGAGCAAAGTGCCCTGCACGTAATTTAACTGCCTGCCAGAAGAGAGGCCAAAACTCACTCAGCTCATGTAATTCAGCATATTCACAATTTACACAACAAAAATCATAGGATCATCTCAATGGATATAGAAAAGAGATTTGATGAAATTCAGCATTTTATTCTTAATAATAAAAATTCTCATCAAACTAAGAGTAGAAGGGATCTTCCTCCATCTTAAAAAGAGCAGCTAAGAAAAATCCACAGCTAATGTCAGCCTTTAACTGTCACAGACTAAATCCTTTCTCCTAATATTGGGAACAAGACAAGGGATATGATCTCAACATTATCTTTAATGTTCTACTGAAGGTCTTTGCCAGTGCAATAAGGCAAGGAAAAAGAAAAGCCATACGGTTTGGAAAGGATGAATTAAGGCTGTCTTTATTCATAGATGACATGACTATGTAGAGAATCTCAAAGAATTTACAAAAAAGTTTCTATATAGCCTAAGAATATGAGGAGGGGGGATGGGTGGAGGGAGAGTGATTGGAGGGATCACTTCTATGGTTTATCTTACAAGGGTACAAGTGAATCTTTCTAAGAGTAGAATATAATTGTCTTAACACAATAACTAAGAAAATGACATAAAGGCTATGTTAACCAGTTTGATGAAAATATTTCAAATTGTGTATGAAAACACCACACTGAACCCCATGATTGCATTAAATGTGCACAGCTATCATTTGATTAAAAAAAAAAAGCTTCTAGAGTTTGTTAGTTTTTACCTGAAGTCATAAACACTCATTAAGTTTCCACCTCTAGGGGATTTAAATATTCATTAAGTAAAAAATAGAACTTGTAGGTCAGCTGCTGGTGGCTCATGACTAGCACTCTGGGAGACTAAGGCTGGTATATTGCCTGAGCTCAGGAGTTTGAGACCAGCCTGAGCAAAGTGAGACCCATCTCTACTAAAAATAGAAAAACTAGCCAGGTGTTGTGGTAAGAGCCTGTAGTCCTAGCTTGGGAGACCAAGACAAGAGAATTGCTTGAAGTCCAAGAGTTTGAAGTTGCTGTGAGCTATGTTGCCAGTGTGCACTCTACCCAGGGTGACTGAGACTCTGTTTCCAAAAAAAGAAACCAAAAAACAGAAAAATAGGACTTGTTAGTTCTCTATATCTCCTTTGGGCCTAACCTTTCCTTTTTTCTTTGTAATGTGAGCCATAGGTAATTTCTTTTTTGTGGTAAAATACGTGCAACATAAAATTTACTATTAGAGACATTTAGTACACTCACAATATTGTATGACCAACCATTTGTCAGCAAATAGGACTTGTAAGTCCTTTTTTTGGCTCTGGTGGGTCTGGACATTGATTAACCGAAGAATAGACCTCTCCTTGCTCTTCTGGTTTTGTGAAACGTCCTTTCAGATTGTAGAAGATTCACAGCAGATAACCCTCCTACCTTCGTCCAGCAGATGACCATTGATCCATGTCAAGGCAAGCCCATCACCTCCTGAGCTGCACATGCACCACACCCAGAATTGCTTTAGAAGGGCCCCTTACCCTAACTTGATGTTGTCACCATTTTCCATTTTTGGTGGCAGCCCAGCTGCTTGCGGATGCTCTTAGTATAAATCTCTGCTATTATCTCCCCTCGACCTGTTTCTCTGCAGTACCTTTCCACTTTTGGCCTCTAACGGAGGTCCCTGAGAGGGGAAGTGATTGCCTAATATTGGGCAAAGATATTGCCACATATGGATCAACTAACACAAGACCCTACCTCTTGGGATATTTGCTCATTTGAACACCAGCTCCCTGGATATACTGCTCAGCAGAGAAATTGCTCAAATTACTCTGTTGGAGATTTCAGTGATGCGGAGTTTGTCACATCACCATGTAGCACGATTCACATTCACACATTCAAGTTCTCCTTGCTGCCATGAGTCCATCACTCCCTAAAATGTAATTCTGGAGCTCTGAGAACCTTTCATTTACCCTGGAGGAGTCATAAATATTCAGAATGGTCCCTGCTCTTCCATATTCAAAGGACTGTCTACAGACCATCTGAGCAAGACAGCAGTGTGTGAAAGAATCTCAAAGTGTTGAAAATTATTAGAAAGGGAACAAAGAAAAACATCTGTTAGATTTCAGTCAATCTTAAAAAACATCTCAGTGAAAGCCACGGCCACCCGGACAGAGGAGCTGGGGGAGGCAGTGGAAGAGGACGTGGAAGGGAGTGGGACACCCCTCCTTTGCAGCACCTGTTCTGCTGTGGATTCACTAATCCGGGGGCCAAATGACATAGGGGGTCCCAGCTCATAATGCGTCCCTCACAACAGCACTGAAAATCCAGTGCACCTGCCCCTCACGAGGACATCTGGCTGGAAAGTGGTCAGCTTACTTGAGAAGAGGCCTTGTGTGGGGCCCTGTGCACGAGAAGATGTTCTTTTGTTAGTGTTTTAAATAGGCAATTTGGCACATTATCTGAGGGAGACAAAGGAGGAGAACGTTGCCATAGAGTCCAGCCAGCACAATGCACCAAGTGTAACTGACACCTCTGAAAGGTCTCACAGGACCCAGATTTAGCAGTGCTCAGGGAAATGGTATCCGTTCCTTCAGGGTTTTCTTTTTCAGGCATTTATTGTAGTCACAAAGAGCCTTCTGCATCATCATCTGATTCCCCTTTCCCTTCTTTCATTCCTTCCTCTTATACCTTTTTTCTCTCAACATGGCTGTATGTGAAATAGAAAAATGTTCCTGCAGCCATGCAGCTGTTGTGATACAGCCCCCACATGGGCAGGAATTGAAGCCTTTTAAAGGCCTTTGCTTGAGGATGTCATTTGACTCTTAGCTGGGG